TAGGACCCTACACGGAGGATCAAGTGTCCCAGCTGTTCGGCCATACCCGTTGGTCGTGCATCCGCAGATTTGTCTTGGAGCAGAAACCAGGGAAGCTTCGGCCCATTGACGATGCAAAGGAGGCACTCGTGAACAGTGCCAGCACCTCGACGATGCGACTTGAGCTTGAGGACGCTGACTACCTGTCGGCCATGGTGCTTGAGATCGCACGCCGAATCCTAGCCGGCCCTTCCAAACCAGGGGCCGTGCCCTGGGTCGCCAGATGCCTCGACTTGACGAAAGCCTACAAGCAAATGTGTGTTTCCGAGCGGGACCTGCAAGTCTCCGTAGTCTTCGATCTTTCTTGATAAACAGGGGAGGCCCAAGTTCTACGTGAGCCACTCGCTTTTATTCGGTTGCACATCGTCGGTCTTTGCGTTCAACAGGGTGTCAAAAGCAATCTCCTTCCTCCTAAACAAAATGTTGCTCGTGCCAAGCTCCGTGTTCTACGATGACTTCCCCCTTCTATCACCGAATAATACGGCTGATAGCGCCACGTGGGCTACGACCTCGCTGCTCGACCTTCTGGGCTGGGGTCATGCCCGCGTGGGCAAAGACACGAAAGGAGTTCCCTTTGCGGCAAGCTTCGAGGTCCTTGGAATGTCGATGCAGCTTGATGGGGTGCATAGGGGACGCCTGACTCTTCAAAACAAAGCCGGACGCATAGAGCAACTTGTGTCGTTGTTTCAGGGTTTCCTTGACAGAGGTGCTATCACAGTGCACGAGGCACAGGTCGCTCATGGGCTCTTGAATTTCTCTGCCGGCTATGTTAATGGCCGGGCCTTGCGCTTGACCTGCCAGGAGCTGCTTCGCTTGACAAAGGTTTCGTGCCCCGCCTCTCCGAAGGCGATCCGCAGCTTCTGTGTCAACAGCATTGAGGCCCTCCGGGCGCTGAGCCCCCGTGTGCTCAGTGTGTGGGAGAGCCGTGCTCCCATACACGTCTTCACGGATGGCGCGTGGGAGCAGGGCCGAGCTGGTGTTGGCGCTGTCATCTTTGACACAGCCTCGGGCAAGTCGTGGACTTATGAGGGTCTGGTCCCAGAGCAACTTATCGCCCGTTGGGAGGCCGATGTTGGGACCCAGCTCATTTGTCAGATCGAGTTGTACGCGGTTGTATGCCTTAGATGGGCCCTGGCCTCCACCTTTGATCACAGGCGCTTGATATGGTGGATTGACAATGAATCGGCTCGCTTTGGCTTGATTAAGGGCATCTCGGATAGTCCCTCGATGTCATCCTTGATTCAGGCTTTCGCACTGGCGGATTCTAAGGCACCTTCGTATAGCTGGTACGAAAGGGTCCCATCATTCTCAAACATCGCGGATGGACCAAGCAGAGGTGATTCAACAGAAGCCTTGGCCGTCTGCACCAGCAAGGCGAAGATGGATTACCCCCTCGACGAGAGCCTCATTCGGAGGCTGCTGTCGACTTGATGTCATGCTGGTGAGCTCACGCACTCGGGGCACCTAGCCAATCGACGGGGGGATATTGTGCCCCGTTGATCTCGTAGGCCTTGTGCCGAGGTCGGGGCAAACAGGGATCGTTTCACGAATTCCCGCGATCGGCTTTGCAGCCAAAAAGAGTCCGAGCTTCAGCGATTGCATTTCACATGTCAGCTGGAACATATGCTGTGAATTGCAGTGTTTCTTAATTTATATTACGATTGGAATCGGTGCATATATGTTTCGAATGTTTCGTGGAGAGCAGAACTCCCATTTGAGATATTCCGGAATTTCGAGTTGCCCCAGTTTTGTATAATTAGAAGAATCGCTCCGACTTGTCGGTAGCGCTTTCTAAGTAGACAAAACTGTAGGCTCGCGTAGCGAGCCGGGGCGACTCTAGTAACATGTACAGATTTTGTTGTTTGTAATCGTTTCACCCAAACAAACTTTTTACATGTGTTTTCACGAAGAGTTTTTCATGAATGATTTTGGCCTTATCGGCATGCGAGATCTCTTTCATGACTTGATCTCATTCGGCATGGCCGCGCTCGCTTCTTTCAAGCATCAGGGGGCCGGGCCCATCATTCATGAAGTTTTTGAACCCACCCGCCCTCCCTGTGGGGGGATATTGTGCCCCGTTGATCTCGTAGGCCTTGTGCCGAGGTCGGGGCAAACAGGGATCGTTTCACGAATTCCCCCGATCGGCTTTGCAGCCAAAAAGAGTCCGAGCTTCAGCGATTGCATTTCACATGTCAGCTGGAACATATGCTGTGAATTGCAGTGTTTCTTAATTTATATTACGATTGGAATCGGTGCATATATGTTTCGAATGTTTCGTGGAGAGCAGAACTCCCATTTGAGATATTCCGGAATTTCGAGTTGCCCCAGTTTTGTATAATTAGAAGTCAAGGTCAGCCCTCAGAATTTCGGAGCCCGGGTGGTTGATTTTGCGGACCGCGCGCTAATGCTTCGTCATTGTTCGGAAAGCGAAGCTTTCCGCGTGTGCCTCACTCCCCTGCTTGCAGTCTCCATCGCGCTAGCGCAGTTCTGCGACCCTGTGCTGCGGTTGCCCGAAGGCCGCGTTTTCGACCTTTCGTGGTATGAGTTGGCGCGCCCGGAGATCTGGTGGTGGTTCCTTTTGGACGAGCTTGCGGGCCTGAAGTTCTCGCTGCCCAGTGCTAAGGCAGGCTTAATCCAAATGTTTCTGGCACCCAAGCGACCTCCCCAGCCCGCGGGCCGGCGCCGTGGCGCTGGGGCTGGCGCCCAGCGCGCGACGGGGGGGGAAGGAGGCCCGTGCGTCGACCCGAACCAGGGCACACCACTGCTTCATTGTGGTGTGCTGCTGCCGGTGCAGCTGGTGTTCTACCTTGCTCGGGCCCTAGTGGATGAGCCTGCTGCTGCTCCCTTGCTGCAACTCGTGCACATCTCCCCAGTCTGTCAGAATGACCAGAGTCTCCTGGAGGTACGGGTTCGGGTGGAGGTACCTGCCTCCCTGGTTGGGCGGCCACAAATCGCCATTGCCGCACGGCTGATGGACGGCTTTCACCGTGGGCTCCTCCCTGCCAGGCGGGGCGACTTCGACCCCCAAATGTTCTCTTATCCGGGCGTGTGCAAAGGCACTTTTCGAATCTTGCTCCCGCTGGACGATGTTCCGCTGGGTCTGCAAGCGCAGCCGTCGCTCCCCATCCAGTCCGCTGGTCTTCTGCACGCGGCCCTGTGGCGCCTTCGGGCGGCTGCTACCTCCTCCGGTTGGGATCTTACTGCGGTGGTTGTGTACTGGCTGAGAGGTCCTCGGAAAATGGACTTCTATTTCCCGGTGCGCTTGTGGCGCCACGCGTTTTTCGATGCGTGGGATACGAGGGCTAAGGTTCTCATCCACCAATTGGTGGCCCAGGAGTCGCACGATAAAACCACGGCCGATGGCAGCCGCGCGTAATTCCGGCTTGGCGACCCTTGGGGCCAAGAACGCTGGAGGGAAAAGGCGCGAGCCTTCAGCGAACGGGGAGGACTCGGCCCAGGCATTCAAATGTCGTTTATTTCTACCGAATTGATGCCTCACCTCCATGAGGCTGATCACGATACATTACAATATGGCTTTCACCGTCTCCAAGAGCTGTATGCACAGCGCAGCTACCAGCTGCTGTACTTGCTGCGGGAATCTCATTTTCCGACCAGCGGCACTGACATGCAGCGCCAACTGGATGCTTGGCCGCCGGCTGCGACGCTGTCAAGCACCCGGTGACGGTGGAGAAGCACCCCAGCATCCAGAGCCCTCGACCATCGACATACGTCGTGGGGTCCTTTTCCTCGCAGGGACGACGGGTCGAGACTTCTTGCTGGGGACTGGACTTCTCTGTGGACTTGTGGATTTTGTGTGCACGATCGTGAAACAACAGGACCCTGGGGCTGACCGTTGTTCGACGGAACTAGAACGGCGGCCGGAACTCCGACTTTGGGTTCCTCCGGTGGTCTTGGACAGCTCTAGGCGACGGCCTTTGCTGTTGTGGATCGGTCGCTGAGGGCCCGTAGCTCATGCTGAACGGCTAACACCGGCAAAGCCTGTGCGCCGCAGCTAGCTTTTTTTCCTGACTTCTTAAGCCGCCTGTTTCACCGCTGTTTTTGGTTCTTGTTTGTCGGTTTGTTTGTTTGTAGGGACCGAGTGCTACAGCCGTAGCCGACGAGGCCCGCTCACGCCAAAAAAGTCCGGAATCCTCAACTCGAACTGCAGGCAAATTCCTACCCCGGACAGCAACCTCTAGGGCTCCTATCCGAACAGTGATTTCCTTTATCTCGTCCTCGAGGGGCCGCCTATTCATGCACGATGAAGCTGATACTGTGCAAGCCTTTCCCGAGCCTTAGGGTCCACATGGGATTGCGTGATTCTGGTCCACTTTTCATCTGACAACGTCTTTTGTGGCAATGAGCTTCCCTGTTTCCACCATCAAGTTGAAACACCTCCGGGAACAAAAATAATTGCGGCTTCCACGAGCCCAAGATTCTTGATACCCTGGCCCTGAAGTAGACATAATACGGGGTGGATGCGGGTCTTAGTGCAACACTACTTGCTTAAGGGGGACTATATAGGCAAAAGTCCCTGACCCAAACCAGCAGACCCAGGATTGACTTGGGCTGAAAAACTCTCTAGCTCTCCACTGCCGATGTTGACAGCCCGTGGAGCAACAATTTTGATATGAAAGGCCATAATTCTGGTGCAGCCCTGTATGAACTGTACACAGCAGCTCATATTCAACCTACTGAGTTCTTCCCGTTGCTGTTTCTTGCCAGGATGGACAGCTTTGCGCATTTTTGCTGTACAGACTTTTATGTGAGTTTGCATTCCTGCTCTGCAGGCCCTTGAGTCAAGCGTTTCGGGTTTAGTGTTTTGGGTTTAAAGTGAGGGATAGCAAGCCTGTCCAGTTTAGGACACGCCCAAAAAGACCCATGATTTTAAGAACCCTCAATGTCCGTTGGTCCAGAAGCGCACGGCTCAAGAGCAATCGATCCTCCAACCAGTCATCGCCATGGGATCTGTCACCAGTTTGCTCCTGAACTCCCTTCAGCATTGTGTTTTGATTTAGGATAATGGAGAATAAAATGGAAACTACTAAAATGGGTGATATCGGGATTATTGGGTATATATTGGGGTTATCTGGGATAATGGAAAAGACAATGGAAACTACTATAGTGCAATGGGTTACCTTGGGGTTATCATTGGGTTTGGGATTTTCTGTTTATTGTTAACACCAGAGACAATCAAGCATAAACCTACGCCTTGCATATATTCCGGATCTACGAAGGAACTCCAAACATCTCCTAGAAGATCTTTAGGTTCCCAGATGACATCAGAACCCGTACATGTGCCAATCCCTAAACCCTAAACCCTAAACCGTCCGACTTGTGGGCCCATGGGTAGCCAGCAGTAGCGTTGTAAGTAGCGTACTGCAACAAGATTATGATCATGGCTACAGTACATCCCAAACCCCAAGCCCGAAGACCCGTGCAGCTCTTTGGGGCTTTCTGGGGCAAGGTTTGGGCTTTGTGGACGAAGAAGTTATGGGATGTCATTAGAAGGGTCCAAGAGCTTCTTCCGGGTGACCTTAAGTAACAGTAAGTCATGACCCCGCGCTCTACACCTTAAGACCTCCCATCCTCCTAGCCCTGCCAAAAAGCCATTATAACCTTTAGCCCACGGATGGTCTTAAAAGCTCATAACCTAAACTCCTTCAAAGGTTCCATACGGGAATATATTGGGATCCAGGAGTTTACAGCATAGCTGATAAAACCCCTGTACATCTACCCTGTCAGTATTAGTTTTCATTTTTTACAATCCTTATGTAAACCCTATTGCGACCTCTATATAACGCCTACGTGGCCCCCATGTTGTAGAAGTAGCATAGGTGCGTGAAGCATAGCACCGATGCCTCCGCCGAGCTTGTGAAGCAATCTCCCAATGCGAAGCTGGGGTTGGCCGAAGGCGACAAGGTTCTACGAGCTCAGGTGCGGTGTCTCAGAAATTGCAAGGTTTTTGGGGGTAAAGGGTTCAAGGGGTGAGGGTTTAAGGGCGTAAGCTTTCATACTTCAGGTTTTGGGTCTAGGGTTGGAAGTCAAGCAGATCGGGGTCCAGAGTCTTTAGTCCCGCTTGGTCTGAACTCTAAAGCCCAAACCCTAAACCCTCAACCCAAACCTTAAATCCGAATCCTTCAACACAAACCCTAAACAGTAAACACTATAAGGTCTAGGGTTCAGGGACCCTGAACTTCAGAAGTGGTGAGAAAAGGAACCCCCAAAATTCCAAAACAAACCACGGCCAGGTGTATTCCTTACATCACCGCTGGCATCTGAGTCCAAAATCTGGCATGTTGTGGGTTTCGGGTTTAGGGCAGTTTAGCGGTTTAGGGTTTAGGGTATTAAGGCTTAGGGGTTTCGGTTTCCTCGATGATTTGTTTTGCGCGCTAGGTCAGATTGTTGTAGCTATTGATGGGTTCAGGGGTAGCTGTATTAATTGGAGCTACAAGCAGGGAAGACGTTCTTATGACCCAATGCAAGTTACCGCCCCGCTTACACCTGGCGGGTTGTGCAAACTGTGGTCCCTTTTTGCTAGCCTGTTGCAGTAAGAAAGAAAACATCATTTTGGATACCTAAATCCTAACTCAATCCTCAACTCCTCACCCCTAAGCTGAAACCTATATGCTAAACCTCAAACCTTGATCTGAGATGCGTCCCTTAAAACCTTGAGCTCTGAATGGCCATCAGCCAACTCCAAACGCTTTGAGCCAGAAACCCCTTAACCCCAAACCCAAAACCCCCAAAAAAGGCCCTCAACCCATAAGACCTAGAAGCCCTGAAGCCTAAACCCCATAAGCCCTGAATCCCGAACTCGTCATCAGACTCCCCACTCTAAATCCCAATCCCATCCAATCCCTATCAACCCCAAAACCCTCAACCCTAGATCCTAAACCAACCCAGGGAGGAGCAGGATCGTTGGTCGGATTGGTACGAGCTGCGACTTCTCGAAGATGGTACCTGCACCTGGTGGAAGGTGGCCTGAAACAACATTGGGGTTTAGGCATAGGGTTAAGGAACGTCCATTCAACCAGCATTTGGGTTCTTTTGATTTTGAGTGCAAGTAATCTGGTGCAGGTTGGGATAGTACATCATTGTTGAGTACTTGGACTCCCTCGGGGTTCAGGGGTTTTCTTGTGCTTGGGTTGGTTTTGGTCTAGGGGTACAAAAGTGGGATTCTGCTGATTGGAAGGTGATCAGATGTGGGTACAAAAGTGGGATTCTGCTGATTGGAAGGTGATCAGATGTGCAATGCGAACGGGGGTTTAGTGTTTCGGATTCAACCCTTAAACCTTAGGGTTTAGGCTTAACTTCTGCAGGCGTGGGAGTAAGGCATGTATGAAAGGGCTTGTGGTGGCCGTGGCAGATTCTTAAAAGGGCATGCTAAAGGTGAGGCGTCCACATAGTTCATGGATCATATGCGGGGTCCTTTTCTGAATTCATGTCTGCTTGTTGGGGTTTATGTCTGGTTCAGTGCATTATCATGTTTGTTCTGCGGAGATGTAGCAGGAGTCATAGTTTATGACGTCAAGTTTCTCCCCTTTGCCAGTGGGAACCTAGGCGGAGTGCGGAGCTGGTAGACTGGCCGGTAACGGAGCAACGAAGCACGACAAGTTTCTCATGGATGGTACGTACACCATGAGGACAGCTGAGACAGGTAACTGGGAACTACATTGTTAAAATTTTTTATTTCTCAAGCTCTTCCTTGATCCTACGCAGTACACATAACCAATTGAAACTCAGAGCCCTGATCTGCTTGCGCAAGATGAAGCTATGAATGGTTTGTAGAACTCCTGGGGAATGTGTCTGTAAAGTTTGGGGTGAACATGCATGGAAAGTACCTCACAAAATACTCCTGTAGCCGGGGGCACGGCGCTATGGTTTTCTGGGACAAGGAAAGTTTATCGACGTGAAGTGGCAAAACGGACGTACAGAATCGCATTGCGAGAGCCAGCTGCGTAAGGGTTCCATCGTGTGACAGTGTGAGATTCAGGGTTTATATATGATTCAGGGTTTTGCGGTGAATGCGTGGCCAAGCCGCAGCATCGAAACATCCGCGCCCGGCCAACGGAACAGGCCAGTGTACAGAATCTGACCTGAATCATTTTGCGCCGTCACCACGGGAATAATTATTGGAAGATGACAGAAAGCACTCTGGAACATATGAGCATGACAACACTGACCACGCCTGTCTTCGGAAAGCTAAAGTTAAAGACCCGCATATTTACGGCGCCAGAGTCTATGAGGCATGCAAAGATCTTTCTCTGACTTCCTGTGGCCGTCACCTGTTCTACACAGCAGGGGTATGTGTACAGTCATGGATGTGAGCGTGCAAAAAAAATCATACTTGTGGAGGGAAAGTTTGGTATAGAGCCTGGGTTGCGCACAGTAGCGCGGTTTGGGGCTTCTCGTTCTCGGGTATAGAGGTTCCCTATAGGGCTCCTAATAGCCCAATGTAGGTACGATTTATAGACATGGAGCCCCAGGGGGTTGCAGCACTGTTCTTGCTGGACTTCTGTGCTGCGCGAAGGGCACCTGAAAGAACCCCCCGTATTGATGGCATCGCGCCCCTTATCCTGAGTTGCTGTTCAGGAACTCAGGATCCCATGTTTCGAATCACACGGTTTCCGGGGCCTCTTCTAGGCCCCAGGCGCCTGTCCAAACCCGCTGTGCTGGACATCGCGCTTACTTAGATCAGCTTGTCCTGAGTTTAAGTAAGCCTTATAACTCAATGAATGTTTTAACTAGACAGTGACAATATCCCTTCGAGAACTTCATTCTTCGATTGATCGGACATGCCTCAACCCCGCAATCAAAACAATATCACCACTGCACCCTTCTCTAAACTCTAAGCCGCCACCGCCCAGCTCTCCATCTATCGATGCAACCTTTTGGTTGTATGGATCAAGCCAGGCGTCTGTGGAATTAGCTTCGCGTATCATGTGTGGGTCACTTAAAGTGGCTCAGGGCTGTGGGGTTTAGGGGTTTAGGCTTTTGGGTTTAGGACAGGACTTCTGAATCAGGGGTTCTCCTAAGAACATTTTAAGGAGATTCCGGACTATCCCAAATACCCCAAACCCTAAACCCCTAGATATTGGGCACCTCCTGTCGGATGGATGTCTCGCGCCCGCGCGGGGTGACGCGCATCGAGCTGCTTCCATACAACCGCGCGATCAGCGCCTGCAAGCGAGGCCGTTGGCCTAAGCCTCCAGATACATACTATGTCGGGCACCAGGGGCTCTAGCACCCTATTTTGTAGGTACCCGGCGGGTTAGCGTTGTTTGTTCGGAGGATTCCCCTAATGTTCTGTAGGATTGTTTGTTTACTGCGGGCCTTTGTGCTCCGCAGAATATCAATGCGAAGGTTGGGGATTTGGCATCTAACTAGCGTTGATAGGGAAACTTGTGTAAACACTCGCGAGGGCCTCTGGTTCATCAGCCGCCCTCAACAGCCCGAGAGTAAAGCCCTAAATCCTGGACTGAAGCTTTTAAAGCTTAAGAAACTGAAGCCCAAAAGCTTATTCTAAAGCCCTAAAGCCTAAAACTCTGCAGCCCAAAAAGCCTTAAACAAGAACCCTGAAGCCCGAAACTATTGTAGAAGCCGAAATAATTACCAATAGTATGGTTAGGGTTCCTTATTATAAATATACTCTAAAGAGGCCCAGAACCCTTTTCTAATCATTAAGGCCCCCACATTAAAGCCCAAAAGCCCCCTCTCCGCCAGACAGGGCGGCAATGGCCCGGCGCCTTGAACCTCCTGAGGTCGGTGCCTTCATGCTCGAATTTAGGGTTTAAGGTTTAGGGTACTAGGGTTTAGGGTGTAGGGTATTAGGGTTCAGGGTATCGGTATTAGGATTTAGGGTTTTAGGGTTTAGGGTATTAGGATTTTAGGGTTTAAGGTTTAGGGTTTAGGGGGAGGGAGTTCGATTCATGGGTTGAAGAGCTAAGGTCTTAGGGTATGTATGACGGTATGAGGGTATGAGGGTGTGAGGGTTTAGGGTTTATGGGATTCAGGGTTCAGGGTTTGTAGAGTCAGGGTTTAGGGATTATAGAGTTTGGGATTAGGGCTTAGGGTTCAGAGTTAAGCGCCTGGGATTCACAGAGTTCGGGTTCAGGGGTTAGGGCTTCCGGTCTCGAACAGGGATTCGGAGTTAAGGCTTCGGCTTGAAGGGGGTGTGGGTTTCTCTAGGGTTCAGACGTTCGTGATGGGCTCAGGGTTGTGATTTTCGGAAGTTGGGGGATGTTTGAAGAAATGTAGCTTTGAGTAGGTGGCTTCAGGTGACTGCAAGGGTAGGGGAGTGTTCCAAGCTTCAAGTAGTGCTTGCGGGTCGACACACTTGAAAAGGGGTTTGGGGTTCATGCACAACGGTTTTGGGTTGCATAACTGTTTGTCAAGATTTTGTCGTTTCTGATTTCTGGTTGGTATACCCGAGGGTCCAATTGCCCAAATGGAAGGTTGAATGTAGATTCCAAGCAACATTCAGAACCCAGTTATACTTGGGAGCTAGCTGTGTTATTGGTGGGATGTTTGGACCTCAATATTGCTATCCTCTTGTAGTCCTTCTTGGACTTATAGTTTAGTATACATTCCGAAGCCCTGTTCGAATTAATTCCTAAAATCCCAAAACACTAAAGCCTAAATCCTGTCCGTGAAGCAGACAACTGAGGCGAGCTCTGCAGGCTTGCAGCCAGCCTCGCAGCTGCATGAAATCCAGGGCCCGTAGCTTTGAGGTTTTAGGGTTTCGAGTTTGAGGGGGAATCAATAGTTTTATGTTGCACATGTTTCGGTGTCTACGTACCGTAGTTTGCTACATCTAAATGGGTGGTTGAAGAGCTCTCTTTCTCTCTCTCGCTCTCCATCTCTCTCCCTATTTCTCCCCATTCTCTTTCAGCCAAAGAAAGAGAGAGAGAGAGAGAGAGAGAGAGAGAGAGAGACATGTAGCAGATACGGAGGAGCAGACCCAGAAGGAAAGCGGGACATATCAGGACATCAGATTGTGCGTATCTTACTTGTTTGTGCAACTTGTCTGAAGTCTTTCCTTCTTAGCTCGGACTGTATGTCTAAGCTGTCTGCCTCCGAACTCACCACTCCTAGTAAAGGGGTGCGCAGGAGCGCAGGGAGGGGGGATCGCTCCTCCTCAACTTTGCAGAAAGAAAGACACAGAGAAAGAGAGAGAGAGAGAGAGATAGAGAGATAGAGAGATAGAGAGATAGAGATAGAGAGATAGAGAGATAGAGAGATAGAGGGAGAGAGACAGAGAGAGCAGAAACTCAGGCCAAGTCTCAGGATCGTTCCAGTGGCCCAGGAACCCTGAACCGTAAAACCCAGGCCCTAAAACCCGAAACCCTATTCAAACCTTCAGCTGCCCTTAACCCCACCCCAAAACTTTAAACCCTAGACCCAGACCCCGGTACACCCTACTCCCAGGACATCATTACCTAGAACACCTCCATCAGCACCTGCGAGCGAGCTGGCGAGTGGCAAGCAGCCTCGCCCCTTCGCTTGCACGAGGTTAGGTGGCGGCGGTGGGTTTAGGGTTGAGGGTTTGGGGTTTGTTTGTTTGTTTGTTTGTTTTTTTGTTTTTCGGGAGAGGGGGGAGCTTCAGGAAAAGTGTGAGGTTTATAGGATTTTGGAATGTAGGATGTACATAGAGTACGGTCTACGGTAGTCCCGGTAGTTCCAAAGACAAAAAAAATCAAGTGCTGACCAAGCGCATAGAGATAAGAATGAGATGCGCTTGATCCACAAGGTCGGGTCTGCAGTACCTGGGATGAGAGAGATGAAACTGTAGGCTCTTTCCGGGCCCAAGATGAAGCTGGAGGGACTACAAGAGGGGCCCTGATAAGGAACCTTGGCAGTTACAAAGGGCATTATGAGACTATATAATGTGTATGTACCTTCAATATGAACCCCAAACTCTAAACCCAAGTCTGTAGCCCTCTGAACAGACACCAAGATCTAGGTTTCCGGAAACCCACAGGGCAGGCTTATTCTGAGGAGTTACTTGGCAACGTAGAGGCGGCATCCACCTCTGGGATGTTAAGCATCGTCCCCGGCTAGCCCCCTCAAATTTCAGTGCGTTTGACAAGCCCTAATATTTGCATCAGGCCCCTGTAAAATCCTATACACCTTTAAAGAACACAGCAGGTTTAGGGTAAAACTTCTCCTCGATGTCGCCGAGATACCTCTTCGCCGACCTCACGCAGGTGCAGCTCCAAGCAGACGTAGTCACGCATCTTTGACTGCCAAGAGACAGCCCTACTCACACTAACCCTCCAGGTACCTACCATGTAAGGCCCCAGGGGTTCTAGTACCCTGTATGGTAGGTATGTGGAGGGTTAGGGTCAGTTGTACACTAAGCAGCCGTCAACCAATTGAACTTTTGCAGAGCACTACACTATATGTCTAGTATATTCCCAGACCTTCACCTTTAGTTCCCCTAGGATATGGGACAGGTATGTAAGCCTAAATCCCAACCTAAAGCCCTCGCAGCAAGGCTCTTAGGACTAACTATTTAGGCTTTAGGGTTTAGGATTTAGGGTTTATGGTGGTATTAGGGTTTAGGGTCTTGGGCCTCCAACCCGTACAACATGATGCTGTTTGGCGCTGTTTGATGCCGTAGTTGTTACAGCTTGTTTTCTGAGGGAGCACGCCTGAGACTGCAAGTAGACGTGCTGAGACCGAAATGCCCTTGTGAAGCGTCTACGATTCCGGGGTCTCGGGCTCTGTCGGGCCCTAAACTTGTGACCTCATAAGACAAGTAATGAATCGTGATGACGAAGAAGATTAGTGGAAGTCGTTCCTAGTGGTCCTAGTGTAGTACTGGTATTTGAGGTAGTAGTTTTAGTAAGTAGCAGCAGACAGCATTCTTTTCCGCGAGGTACAGCGCGGCCATTGGTGCCTGCGAGAGAGCTTCTCGCTGGCAGCATGCCCTCGCATTGCTGGAAGGTGGGTACAGCCGAAAGCCCTGACCCGCCAAGCCCGAAACCCTGGACCTGACCCTTCAACCTACAATCTCTGACTGCTTATCTTTTGGGCTCTAGGGTCCTAAAATCTATGGGTTGAGGTTTAGGGCGTTGCTTTTAGAAATTTAGCTTCAGGGGTTCGGGTTTAAGGTTTATTGGTTCGGCTGTACGGTTTAGGGTTTAGGTTTATGGGTTCGGGTTATTAAGGCAGGTTGTCCGGGACTGGAAAGTCCAGTGCTCGGGCTTTGTGGTGCTTGGTTAGCGATCACAGCGGTTTCTATCGGCAGCTAACCAGTCTTTCAAAGCCTCTGACCAACTCCTTCAACGAGACTCTTATGTAAACCTATCAGTCCTAACAGGGAGAAATCGAAATATGGAGGTGTACCTGGGTTTACACTTAATTCCTAAACCCAAGACCCCCACCCCCAACTCAAAAAGCAAAAGCCCCATTCCGTGAAGGCCTCGAGGTTGGCTCAGTGCAGCCCGACGCCATGCTCTACGGCGCCGCAGCACCTTCGCTGCGGAAAAGTTTCGGGTTTATGTGGGGGGGCGGGGGGGGTTGGTTGGGTTCTGTTTTTAAGGTTTAGGGAGTATAGTAGGGGTCTTTGGGTTTAGGACTTTGACTTAGGGTTTAAGGTTTAGGGTTGTTTTGGTTTCTTGACGGGTGCTTTTGAAAGGTTTTAGAGTTTTTTTTGTTCAGGGCTTTGTAAGGTTTGAAACATGCACCTAGCAACAGCCTGACGAGAGGGCCCTTCAAACCCTGAAACCTGAATATTAAAAACCCCTGGTTTTGGGCTCATGGCCTCTGGGGGGTGCGCTTTTAGAGTTCGGGGTCCCCTGAAGGGAGCCCTGAGTGAGCCGTCGGCCTGCATGTTCCGCATCGTGCTTCTTTGCTAAACCATAAGCCCTAAACCTCAAACCCTAAACCTTAGCCCCTCAATCCCAAGCACTAACCCTGAGCCTTAAACCCGATACCGGCGCCGGCTTTGTTGCCGTTAGGTGTTTTAGTGGCGTGATCTGTTGGGCTCTTCCGGCTCAGAGCCGCCATTCACCAACGAGTCCTACGGGTCAAGACAGCTCCAGAGATGTTGTAAAGTGAAATCTGAAACAACCTGTAGTCTCCGTTGTAGTTCCCTTTTGGGGGGTTCCTTTAGAGGCAAAGCTAGTTGAACCAAACAAGAATCCAATTTACTCTGCTTGCCGTACCTGATCAGGTCTCTGTGTTGCAAGCTCCTTGCACCGTCATTGGTTGACCACCGTGATTCAGTCCAAGCTTTTCGGTTCAGCAAGCAGGAAGATGTGGCCGAGGGCGCAAAACGGTGACCCTGCGATGTTGCTTGCTGGCGAACTTGATGTGTGCAGTGGGGTTAGTGGCGGCTAGTGATTTGTGTGAAATGCCGAATTTGCAGCTTATGTAAACTGTTTTTGTGTGCCTGCTGATGTGCTCAAGCCAGAGCGGACGATTATCCGTTCTTGTTCGTAGAGGACATGGCAATGGATGGAGCTCACCGAAGTATTACCGCGCCGAACCCGTCCCCCGGCACTCCGGCACCGCTTCCCCCGCCACCGGTCGCAGCACCGGCGACCCCGGCCCCGAGCACCCCAGCTCCGCCGGCACCGGCCCCGGCTACCCCGGCCCCGGTCGTCATTCCGCACGATGACCGAAGCAATGTCCAAGACATTGTAGCTAGCATTCAACAGTTATTGACCAAATTGCTGGAGCAACATCAGCAAGACATTCAAACTTTGACATCCACCGGAAATGCCAAGCTCATCACTCCTGTGGGGCCCCCATTGCCTCTCAACGAGGATTTAGATGTTCAGAAAGCCACGAGCGAAGCTGCTGAGATGCTAGAGGTGCCTGACATGCCAGACGTAACAGCATCGGAGGTGCCAAGTGTCTTTCACGAGGAGCTTCTTGACATGCAGATGGTCCCTGTGAAGTTTTCAGTTTACACGCTGTCCTTGCCCAACACTTGCTTAGACCAGGGCAGTGATCTGGCCAAGCAACACTGCCAAATCATGTTCAAAGGCGGTCAGGATCAAGCAACAACGCGTGAAATCGCATTTCAGCCGCCCGCCTTGCAGTCGACCTTGCAACCCACGCTGCCGGGAGAACTTCCTTCAGGGGAAGTCGTCATAGCTGACTGGACTGCTGGCACCGACGTCGGTATGGATTGCTTCATGCATGTGCCCGAGCCCTGTCCAGCGCGTTTCGCGTTGGAGGTCTGGTGCAGTGGTTCGAATGTGCCCGTGGCAGAGGGCTTCGTCAGAGTTGGTGAGCAGCGACAACAAGTGAGGCTAAGTGTTGGAGGAATCCTCGACGTTGAAGTTATGGCTATAAAGCCAACGAATTCAGGCTGTGTTCAGAGGTTCGGTGATAAAAGGGGCTTGCTTACAGCAGCGGGCGAAGTTAGATTTGGCCCAGCATGTTTTTGAGGGAATGGATGTCTAAGGATGGACAGCCCGATCCGTGACAAGCAGGTCAGGCAGAATATCCGGTCTCGCTTGGAGACGGTGCTTGCTGAGCAGCATCAGGCACAAGTCATCATGGCTCGCGACCTTATTGCAGCTGTGAAGAAATGTGGTAAGTCCGAAGCTTCGGGCTTCTCGTACTCCCTGGAAGAAAAGGAAGTTGAGGAAGCCATTCTGGAGCTCAGGCACATTTTTCAGAGTTATGTTCTCAAGGTCAACAAGAGAGGTTTAACAAAATCGAAGACACCAACGCATGTGATTGCTTTCCATCAGTTTTTGAAGTGCATGTTTCTGGAAGACGTCCACATGTATGCACGGGATGAGGAGGTTCAGTTGACCCTTTTCATCATTCAGCGTGCAATGCTTGGGGCCGATATGCCTTCAGCAGGCACATCTCGTGCGTTGCTCTTGGCAAATCAGAAACGGAAGGAGCAAAGGGACCGACCCAGCATGCAGAAGCTGCTCATTGACACAATGACTGCCCTGTCGACCGCGGCCATCATCGCCAGCGTGGCAGCATCAGGCATCTCCATGGATGTTGCTGTTGGTGAACCAGGATGGGTTGTCTTGGACACACTGTGTGCTGCAGTGTTTGTGATGGAGGTCATTGCCAAGCTTTATGTTCTGACACCACGGCAATACTTCTGTGGGCCTGCGGGAGCATGGAATGTTTTTGACTTGGTATTGACTGGCGCAGCAGTTCTGGAAACCGTGCTCAGCTTTGCTGCAGGCAATGGAGGCCCGGGGATCTGTTTACGACAAGGCGTTCTTCCTTGTAGAAGCAAGTTGCCTCGGGCCCGGAATTTTTGCTTGCATCCACGAAAGTTTCTACGGTGAGAGTAGTGTTTGGGGCTGTGTTTGGGGCCACCGTAGCTCTTGTTGACTGGACGTGCCCTCATAGCTCTATAAGCTGCCAGGCTCCCAGAGTCGGGTTGCCATGATGCTTCGAGGACTTCGCCTTGCAAGGCACCGCCTGCCCATGCTCGAATCATAAACCCTAAAGCCCCAACCCTAAACCCTAAACCTTAAATCTTAAACCGTAAACCCTAGATCCTACGATTCGCCTACGATCATTCAGCCGCGCACGGGAACTCCTCTCCCAAGCCCCACGGCCACTCTCCGCCGCCTCCGCCCTGCCTCCGCCCTGCCTCCTCTTTCTCAGAAGGGTTCCCGATGAAAGTTTCAGCCGGATTCATAGGAGGATGAGCATGATGGTGGCAACGGTTTGTTCATTGTAGCCAGTTAAAAGCTTGGAGTGATTGCATAAATTTCTTTGGTGACGTGCAAACAGCGACCAGCGAAAGATGGTTCCTTGCATGCACTTTCATGTAGTCTGTTGAAGCACCTTTACAGTCTGGAGTTGGGCGGGCATCGCATGAAAGACGGATGACATTGCAGGCTGGCTCGCGTGGCCAAGCTCATGCGAATGCCATTACTGCAGGAGCTGGCCACCATTGTCTCAGGCCAGGGCAACATTTCTTTCTTCAGGCTGCTTTCGGGGTGCGGGGCTCCTGCAACTTTAAGACCGTGGGTCTGCCGGGTTCTGCTGAAAGAAGTGGTCAGTGGATAGGACTGCAGGTCAATGGGTACTGTGCGTAGGCTTCCAGCTGACATGCATAATGTACGAAGGCTTCTTCATCAGCCTGCGGCCGCTATTTTGGGTCCTGCTCACCCTCTTCCTGGTGGTGTACTTCATCGCAGTATTGCTCCGTGCAACGCTCGAAGGCTTTAGATCGGCTCGCTCCTGTGGTGACGACGGTGTGGGATCGGAAAAGTGTCCCTTCCACTTGGAGCAAGGCCACCTATACTGTACTGATATTCTCGGGTGCATGTTCTCCGTGTTCCGCTGCATCATCGGCGACTGCACCACCCACGGAGGCGAAAGCCTCGTGATGGTCTTCAGCGATGGATTCGGAATGGGCTTTGATCTCGTATATGCATTTGCCATGGTGGTAGTCACCTTTGGTCTTTTCAATATTATCACCGCCATCTTTGTGGAAGCCACGTTGAAAGGTTTGAAGGCCAGCGATCGTCAGCAAAAGTTTGCAAGGGCCCATCAGTCTGGCTGGATGACGCAACAGCTAGCCCGCTTCTGGGTGCTTGTTAAGGGGTTTAATGAAAGCTAGAATAAGGGGAAATATGTAAATGTTTGGCATTTGGGTTGCTTGTATATCACAGTAACTTATTCTATATCGCTAAACCCTAAAGCTTATTGTGGTAACTTAAATTGCACCCCTTAAGAAACAATTCAGGCTTCGTGGAGCTGGCTACGCAGGAGGTGATGAACTCGAGGAAGAGGAGGACCAATCAAGGACAGGAAGTCATGAGCCCGCTCATAGGCCGCTCAGATCCACGGTTTAGGGTTTAGAGTTCAGGGTTTAGGGTTTAGGGTTTAGGGTTTACATACCCCACCTGTAAACTTTTTGGGTTCTTGTAATTTAGTAGGAATCGGAAAGTTTAACCTTTTCTTTCCGTGGCATATTGGGGTAGTAAGGTCGGATTACTTCATTAGGTTTGACCATGTCCAATGCAACATCCGCCGAGAAGGTACCTTTGTCATAAGCTGGGTAACATTTTGCAGTTTTTATGGGTACTTAAATTCAACAAAGAACAGACGTTTTGATTTGTAACACAATCCAAACCACGATCTAGGCACTGGCAGAGGAGCTTTTCGTGACAGAGGAAGAATTCCTACGCCTGATTCGGAAGACCGAAGTCCAGCAATTGCTTTGCGACATGGATATAAATGTAGAGCCCCGTGAGGGCATCTTGGCCGCCTTCGTGACTGAGGAGGACGGATCTGTCTCCATGTCAGAGATCGTCTCTGGTCTGATGCGATTCCGGGGTGACCTCCACAAGATCGATATGGCCATTGCTCGCTCTGAGCTGGAGAGCTTGCAGCGGCAGGTCGCAAAGGTGATGCAACACATTGAAAACCATGCTTAAAGCATGCAGTTTTTGAGCGGCACGTGTTCTGCCTGCACTGGTGACCAGCAAGCAGGCACTAGCTCTTCCTGGAAGCAGGGAAGGACGGCTGTGCAGAGCATCCATGTCAATGATCCGTTGTACCAAACCCTTGTCGTGCAGTTTCCGGGTGCTTAGCTCAGCACTCCCAGGCAGCTTGCCTGGAAAGCCCAAGCCCAAAGGGCAGGACTGCGCAATTCTTCGGTAAAAGTCGAGGCTTTTCTTTGTTCCCCTCAGGTTGCTTGAAGGTTCCGGTCTTTATCTCAAGCATGACTGGCGCCACATGTCTGCTACCGATCGCACAACTGACGTGCAACTTTTAAGTCAGAAGCGCCAGCTTTCATTCTTCAATCATGCATATGAGTCATACTTGAGCAGCAACTCCACGAAGCACAAATCATTCGGACAATTCACACATGCTCGGGTGCGTGTTCCTACATCAACCGAAGCTGACACAGAGTACAGCGCAGTCACTGAATGCATGAGGGTTGGTGGCAATTCGCAACTCGTTGACCTTCTGCATGGGGGATCGGAATGCGTCATCTTAACACTTGACATTTCAAGTTTAACTATGCCGTTCCACTTGCATGCTCTTGTCTGAACACGGCATGAGAACGATCTCACGCATTTTGCCCGATGGGCTTTGAGGTCATTGGGGTCAGGAGCAAGTGAACCTTGATTTTTTCCTGCTAGTCCACTGATTCCACTGCCCTTTTCTCATTGAGTGGTCAGCTTGGGCGTGACAGTCAGCATTGATGACTGATGCACCTTCCTTCCTTCGACCGGGCGACCACGCAAATATCACACTTCCCTGCAGGAGTGCTCGCGTGAACGGCCACCACAATTCAAAAAATGTGTGCTGGATGCAAGATGTCCGATTTTTTGAAACATCAATCAGGCACAGCACTCCCCTAAAGCAAGCCCAGAACCCCTAAATGTGTATGGCTGACACGATGCCTTCTTGAACGGAGATAATCGAGTTGTAAGCTTCACAGTTGGGCCAGAGCACCAAGGGCTCCTGCTTTGAGCACATGCAGACGTTGCGTCACGAAGCAGCGGCAAGCAACACAGCCTCATGCAGCGCAGTTCGTCACGTGTTTGTGTTGCAAGCTCCTTGCACCGTCCTTGGTTGACCACCCTGTTTTAAGTCCAAGCTTTTCGGGTTAGGAAGAAGGAAGATTTGGCCGAGGGCGCCAGGATAGTGGCCCTGCGATGTTGCTTGCTGGCCCAACTTGACGTTTGCAGTAGGGGCCTGTGACTTGCGTGGAGTGTCAATTTTGCGGGCAGTGTAACTGTTCTTGCGTGCCTGCTGATGTGCCCAAGCCAGGGCGGAGGATTATCCGTTCTTGCTAGTAGAGGACATGGCGATGGATGGACCGAACATCGTTCTGCACGATGGCCAAGGCAATGTCCAAGACATTGTAGCTGGCATTCAGCAATTATTGACCAAATTGCTGGAGCAACATCAGCAAGAAGTTCAAGCTTTGGTATCCAGCGAAAATACCAAGCTCATCACTCCTGTGGGGCCCCCATTGCCCCTCAACGAGGATTTTGAGGTTCAGAAAGCCCCGAGCGATTCTGCTGAGATGCTAGAGGTGCCTGACGTGCCAGACGAAAGAGCATCGGAGGTGCCAAGTGTCTTTCACGAGGAGCTTCCTGACATGCAGATGGTCCCTGTGAAGTTTTCAGTTTACACGCTGTCCTTGCCCAACAATTGCTTAGACCGGGGTATTGATTTGGCCAAGCAACACTGCCACATCATGTTCAAAGGCGGCCAGGATCAAGCAACAACGGAGACGCGTGAAATCGCATTCCAGCCGCCCACCTTGCAGTCGACCTGCGAACTCACTCTGCCGGGAGAAGTTCCCTCAGGGGAAGTCGTCATAGCTGACTGGACTGCTGGCACCGACGTCGGTATGGATTGCTTCATGAAAGTGCCCGAGCCCTGTCCAGCGCGTTTCGCGTTGGAGGTTTGGTGCAGCGGTTGGAATCGGCCAGTGGCAGAGGGCTTCGTCAGAGTTGGTGAGCGGCGACAACAAGTGGGGCTAATGGGTGGAGGAATCCTTGACGTTGAAGTTACGGCTATAAAGCCAACGAATTCAGGCTGTGTTCAGAAGTTCGGTGATAAGAGGGGGGTTGCTTGCAGCAACGGGCGAAGTTAGATTTGGCCCAGCATGTTTTTGAGGGAATGGATGTCTAAGGACGGACAGCCCGATCCGTGACAAGCAGGTCAGGCAGAATATCCGGTCTCGCTTGGAGAGGGTGCTTGCTGAGCAGCATCAGACACAAGTCATCATGGCTAGCGACCTTGTTTCAGCTGTGAAGAAATGTGGTAAGTCTGAAGCTTCGGGCTTCTCGTACTCCCTGGAAGAAAAGGAAGTTGAGGAAGCCATTCTGGAGCTCAGGCACATTTTTCAGACGTATGTTCTCAAGGTCAACAAGAGAGGTTTAACAAAAACGAAGACACCAGCGCAAGTGATTGCTTTCCATCAGTTTTTGAAGTGCATGTTTCTGGAAGACGTCCACACGTATGCACGGGATGAGGAGGTTCAGTTGACCCTTTTCATCATTCAACGTGCAATGCTTGGGGCCGATATGCCTTCAGCAGGCACATCTCGTGCGTTGCTCTTGGCAAATCAGAAACGGAAGGAGCAAAGGGACCGACCCAGCATGCAGAAGCTGCTCATTGACACAATGACGGTCCTGTCGACCGCGGCCATCATCACCAGTGTTGCAGCATCAGGCATCTCCATGGATGTTGCTGTTGGTGAACCGGGATGGGTTGTCTTGGACACACTGTGTGCTGCAGTGTTTGTGATGGAGGTCATTGCCAAGCTTTATGTTCTGAAACCACGACAGTACTTCTGCGGGCCTGCGGGAGCATGGAATGTTTTTGACTTGGTATTGACTGGCGCAGCAGTTCTGGAAACCGTGCTCAGCTTTGCTGCAGGCAATGGAGGCCCGGGGATCTGTTTATGACAAGGCGTTCTTCCTTGTAGAAGCAAGTTGCCTCGGGCCCGGAATTTTTGCTGGCTTCCACGAAGGTTTCTTCAGTGAGAGTAGTGTTTGGGGCCATCGTAGCTCTTGTTGACTAGACGGCCCTTGCACACGGTTGACCTTGACACGGTGGACCCTAAACCCTGAACCCTACATTGGACCATTCAGAACCCACGAAATTCATAAGCTGCCAGGCTCCCAGAGTCGGGTTGCCATGATTCTTCGAGGACTTCGCATTGCAAGGCACCGCTTGCCCGTGTGCATCATAAACCCTGAAGCCCCAACTCTAAACCCTAAACCCTAAATCCTAAACCTTAAACCCTAGATCCTACGATTCGCCTACGATCATTCAGCCGCGCACCGGAACTCCTCTCCCAAGCTCCACGGCCACTCTCCGCCGCCTCCGCCCTGCCTCCGCCCTGCCTCCTCTTTCTCAGAAGGGTTCCCGATGAAAGTTTCAGCCGGATTCATAGGAGGATGAGCATGATGGTGGCAACGGTTTGTTCATTGTAGCCAGTTAAAAGCTTGGAGTGATTGCATAAATTTCTTTGGTGACGTGCAAACAGCGACCAGCGAAAGATGGTTCCTTGCATGCGCTTTCATGTAGTCCGTTGAAGCACCTTTACAGTCTGGAGTTGGGCGGGCATCGCATGAAAGACGGATGACATTGCAGGCTGGCTCGCGTGGCCAAGCTCATGCGAATGCCATTACTGCAGGAGCTGGCCACCATTGTCTCAGGCCAGGGCAACATTTCTTTCTTCAGGCTGCTTTCGGGGTGCGGGGCTCCTGCAACTTTAAGACCGTGGGTCTGCCGGGTTCTGCTGAAAGAAGTGGTCAGTGGATAGGACTGCAGGTCAATGGGTACTGTGCGTAGGCTTCCAGCTGACATGCATAATGTACGAAGGCTTCTTCATCAGCCTGCGGCCGCTATTTTGGGTCCTGCTCACCCTCTTCCTGGTGGTGTACTTCATCGCAGTATTGCTCCGTGCAACGCTCAAAGGCTTTAGAGCGGCTCGCTCCTGTGGTGACGACGGCATGGGATCGGAAGAGTGTCCCTTCCACTTGGAGCAAGGCCACCTATACTGTACTGATATTCTCGGGTGCATGTTCTCCGTATTCCGCTGCATACTCGGAGACTGCACCACTCACGGAGGCGAAAGCCTCGTGATGGTCTTCAGCGATGGATTCGGAACGGGCTTTGATCTCGTATATGCATTTGCCATGGTGGTAGTCACCTTTGGTCTTTTCAATATTATCACCGCCATCTTTGTAGAAGCCACGTTGAAAGGTTTGAAGGCCAGCGATCGTCAGCAAAAGTTTGCAAGGGCCCATCAGTCTGGCTGGATGACGCAACAGCTAGCCCGCTTCTGGGTGCTTGTTAAGGGGTTTAATGAAAGCTAGAATAAGGGGAAATATGTAAATGTTTGGCATTTGGGTTGCTTGTATATCACGGTAACTTATTCTATATCGCTAAACCCTAAACCTTATTGTGGTAACTTAAATTGCACCCCTTAAGAAACAATTCAGGCTTCGTGGAGCTGGCAACGCAGGAGGTGATGAGCGCGAGGAAGAGGAGGACCAATCAAGGACAGGAAGTCATGAGCCCGCTCATAGGCCGCTTGGATCCCCAATACCCAACATTTGAACTTTTTGGTTTCTTGTAGTTTAGAAGGAATTGGAAAGTTTATCCTTTCATTTCTGTGGCTTATTGTGGTAGTAAGGTCGGATTACTACATTAGGTATGACCATGTCCAATGCACCATCCGCCGTACCTTTGTCAAAAGCCGGGCAGCATTTTGCAGTTTTTATGGGTACTTAAATTCAACAAAGAACAGACATTTTGATTTGTAACACAATCCAAACCATGAACTAGGCACTGGCAGAGGAGCTTTTCGTGACAGAGGAAGAATTCCTACGCCTGATTCGGAAGACCGAAGTCCAGCAATTGCTTTGCGACATGGATATAAATGTAGAGCCCCGTGAGGGCATTTTGGCCGCCTTCGTGACTGAGGAGGACGGATCTGTCTCTATGTCAGAGATCGTCTCTGGCCTGATGCGATTTCGGGGTGACCTCCACAAGATCGATATGGCTATTGCTCGCTCTGAGCTTGAGAACTTGCAGCGGCAGGTCGCGAAGGTGATGCAACACATTGAAAACCATGCTTAAAGCATGCCTTTTTTGAGCGGCACGTGTTCTGCCTGCACTGGTGACCAGCAAGCAGGCAGCTAATAAGAGCATCCATATGATCTGTTGTAGCAGCTTGCCTGGAACGCCCAAGCCCAAAGGGCAGGACTGCGCAATTCTTCGATGAAAGTCGACGCTTATCTTTGTTCCCCTCAGGTTGCTCGTCCGTTGCGGTCTTTATCTCAAGCATGAATGGCCCACATGTCTGTTGTACATCGCACAGCTGACGTGCAACTTTTCAGTCAGGAGCGCTAGCTTTCATTCTTGAGCCATGCATGTGAAACATACTTGAGCAGCAACTCCACGAAGCACCAATCTTTCGGACATCTGCAATTCACACATGCTCGGGTGCGTGTTTCTACATCAACCGAAGCTGACACAGAGTACAGAACAGTCATTGAATCTGCACGAGCGGCACGTAGCACTTCGCAACTCGCGGACCTTCTGCGTGGGGAATCTGGATTGACAGTTGAAGTTTTACTTCTGCAGTGCCTCTAGTATCTCACTTTTCCACTGCAGATGTATTCAAGTGCTTGGTGGACAGTCGAGAATGCGAGGCTAGTGTCGGATGAAGCGCTCTGCGCATCCGTCTGACTTACCGGTGCCTGCCCAACCCAAAACTCAAAACCCTAAACTGTTGATTGAGTATTCCAACGGTTTAAGGGTGCATGTTTTGCTATGTCGAAGATGGTCAAGGTCGTCACTATATAGTAGATAGTAGGCCGAGCTCTGATTCAGAGTCATGCAAGTTGGATAGGTGGCAAGCATGGATGCTGAAGGCTCCTTCACAGCTTATCGGCTCTGAAGCGCAGCGACATCTTGCCATCCCCAGAGACTCCAATCTCCCTTCATTAAGGAATGTACCTTAAATTTTATCAGGGATCCCTAAAAGGATTTAAGGTATATTCCTTAATTAGGGGATATAGGAGTCTCTGGGTCTGCTCTGCCTCCCCAACGCCAAACTTGGCGATTGGCGCCTCTGCCTCGAAAAAGCCGTCCCGGTGCCTCGTCTGTTTAGCGCAACGGCCTGAATTAAATGTTACTATGGTTACTTGCGGTTCCTTCATATGTTGATATTCTGCATAATGTAAAAACTCCGTCGATTGAGGCCGCTACATAAGCGGTTTTTGGGGCTTGGGGTTGTTGGGTCTACTTCTGAAGACTTGCTGACTTCCTGAGGAGGTTGCGTTTCAGGTTTTGTATGGCTTCTAGACCTTAGGTAGTTTGCTTTTCTCTTGATTTGGGGGAGCAGAGTTTCGTTCCTTACAGCAGCTGCCGACATGAATATGTTGTTCATGATCGTGGTGATGATAACGGTCAAAGTGATGGTGATGGTGGTTATGATGATGATGATGATGATCTCGACGCTGCTGTTGTTGTTGTTGCTGCCGGTGCTGCTTTGTCACGCTGTTGTGGTGCCCAGTTTCCTTCTCTGTCTGCTCGTTGTTGTCTTCTGCACTGGTTTCTGGCTGATTGTGTCTATGATGGTGGTGCTGAATGTCGATTGCGATTCTCGCGTTAGTGACAACGGTGATGCTCTTCAAGGCAGCAGTAGTGTTGTCGATCGCTTCATTCGGAGGCTGGGATTTCATGTTTGGCCGAGGGGGATTTCCGAGTTGAAAGACTGCAGCTCAAAGCTTGTCGATCACCTCAGACTAAGCCTGATGTGCACCTGCTTTGTCACAATGCTTTGCAAGCTTCGAAGCGTCGGAGAAGCATTGACTCTCTGTGTACTGAGAGGATCATGGGACTTACTAGCTACGGTTATAAGCAAGGTACAGCGGGAGCGCTGTATAAGAAAATACTTTCTGGGACGAGGGTAGCCTGGTTTTCTTATTTTGATAGCGGCTGGTTTTGTGGGAATATTTAATCTGGGATGGGTCAGGGTAGTCTGGTTTCTTAAGGCCGTTTTCTTATGTAGCTATGTCCAGGGCCCAAGACCCCCAGATGAACAAGCGAAGACTTGCCCCAAACATCAGGCATTTTCTTATTCTCCTTCGTTCCAGAACCCACCTAAATACGAGACTCTGGCATTTTCTTATTCTCCTTCGTTCCAGAACCCACCTAAATAAGAAAACGAGACTCTGGCATTTTCTTATTCTCCTTCGTTCCAGAACCCACCTAAATAAGAAAACGAGACTCTGGCATTTTCTTATTCTCCTTCGTTCCAGAACCCACCTAAATAAGAAAACGAGACTCTGGCATTTTCTTATTCTCCTTCGTTCCAGAGCCCACCTAAATAAGAAAACGAGACTCTGGCATTTTCTTATTCTCCTTCGTTCCAGAACCCAGATAAAGACCACGAGCATGACAGAACGAAATAAGAAAATGAGACTCGCGGACGAGGGTACCCTGGTTTTCTTGTTTTATCAGTGCTTGATATTTTATGTAGGACCCTATCAATCGCAAAATCCAGAGTCTCATTTTCTTAATCCAATGTTTTCTTAAGTAGTGCTGGCGCTGCAACTATACTCATAATTACTTATAGCCGCAATTAAGGTACTTATAACCTTACTTACGAAGTCCCATGATCCTCTAAGTAGACATAGGCTTAAAAATTCGACAACCTAAGTACCTGCCGAGTCATGTTTGTTGGTGAACTACAGCGGAAACGGGTAGACGCAAATGATGAAGGTTGAAGCGGGCACTATATCGGTAGACGCAGATGACCCCATATGCTGTGAGCATGCATGAGATGCTCCCCTTCCACGGTATTCAGGCATCGTAAAGTCCGCAAGCATCCCGAGACCTACGCCCATCACACATGCATAATCTTCTTCGGGCCCCGAAAAGTTTCACACAGCTCAGAACCCGTGAAGGACTCATGCATCCGCCTGTGCGGGTGCATCCGGACGAGCCCAGCGGCAAAGCGGAAGTCTCTGTGCAACTGGCTTCCTCGCAGGCTGCGGTCGGTTCTTTCGTGCACGCACGGCCTTAGCTCACTTGCTGGAGGATTCGAGATGCAGCGCAGTCCTTTAGTGTTCGCACGAAGTCAGGCTGCTGAGGAAGCTGAAGTGACCTATGCGGCACACAGACAACAAAGAGACAGAGAGAGAGAGGGAGAGAGAGAAGTGCAAATCGGTCTGGGCCCTGGTGGCCGAGGGTTTTCGCAGACCCCTCATGCCCTGCCCAAGAAGAGCAAATGAAAGCGTAACCTCTCCGGCCCACCTCGCGTTCGGATACCTGCAGCCTTTATTTCTTTGAGCCTTGATGTGCTTGCAGGAGGATTCTGGAGGTGAAGGCAGCCAGAGAACTGCCCGGCTCGGGATGTTCCCCTTGCTGGGCCGGTGGTCACCTTCAAGACTCGTGCCTGCCGCCTGCAAGGTAGTTCCAAACCTGTCAAAGCTGTTCCTGTTTAAGGAAGCTGCGCAGCGCCAGTCTTCTTCCAGACAGGAACTGGCTGCCAGCGTGTTTTGCCATGTACTTTTTGTGAGGGGGTCCAGATCCCAACGCCAAATTAAGCAATGACAAGGCAACGAAACTCGTTTTTCTGTCGTTTAATCTGGCGCTCTTGGTTCGGGACCTATAAGTCTCAAGACAAGAAGCATGCGTTCTTTGGCCTCATTTATGGGATTTCAGAAATAGGACCGGTCTCGTTCGTTCACCATTCCCCACAGCCTTCATGATCCGCTAGTCAGCTAGTCACCGCCAGTCAAGGTTGTGCTTTAGGGTCCTACCAGGGGTTCACGTGGACGACGGCACTCTCCGTGTTGATAGTGTGAGGCTGACCGACATTGGCCGATTGTTTGGGGATTTTTGTTACTTTTGTCTCATTTTAGGGACTTAAGCACGCTGTGCGGTTGCCCCAATTTTCTGCTCTTCCGCTCGCGTCTTAGGTCGTTCTGGTCCGGAAGTTCACATTCCGTCGTCGGCACTGGTCTTAGCCTGATGCTCTTGGAACATCCTGCTGGAGCGCTGAAAGCATGACATCACCATTCATCATTCAGATGGTGCCGTAGTGCCGTAGTAGCCAACATGTGCGCCACTTTCTTGAGAAAGCCCTAAACCCTGAAACCCTAAACCCTAAAGCCCTAAAACCTGAAACCCTAAACCCTGAAATCCTCAACCCTGAAACCCTACTGACACCCTAAAACCCAAACCCTGAAGCCCTAAACCTTGGTTAGAGCCACAAGGCGGCACCGTTTGTGAGGCACAAGTCTAGGGCTCTGCTCTCTGCTGTGATTGCCGTAGTTCCTGGGATTTGGATAATATAGTAGGGTTCCCTTCAAAGGTTTCCTTTGAGGGATACTCTCAGGGATCTTTAATAGGGTTCATGATATAGGGGTTTGGGGCCCATGATACAATTATATTATAAGCAGGAACCTCCAAAATAGTATTGGTACTTATTGCGGCCCCTACAGTAGCTTTCCCCTGGGGGCAGGGGTCTAGCCTAGCATACCTTGTCAGATGCACAGGATGCCTAAACCCTAAACCCTAAACCCTAAACCCTAAACCCTAAACCCTAAACCCTAAAGTCTTCGCTGAGGGCTCGACAACCGCCACCGCGGAGCCCGAAGCGGCCCGAGCTTCGCGAGCGGCAGAAAACGCGTACGCGGAGCCTAGGTAAAGCTAGGCGACTGGCACCATGCATGCCGGCCCCTCGGGCACCTCCCACGGAGTGGTATAAAGGAGAAACCCTAAACCCGAGGGTTTTTGCTGGCACTTCCTTTCGACACGGGTTTGACCCCCCAACCCTTCATGAACGGCAAATGGACAAGGGTTTGACCCCCCAACCCTTCATGAACGGCAAATGGACAAGGGTTTGACCCCCCAACCCTTCATGAACGGCAAATGGACAAGGGTTTGACCCCCCAACCCTTCATGAACGGCAAATGGACAAGGGTTTGACCCCCCAACCCTTCATGAACGGCAAATGGACAAGGGTTTGACCCCCCAACCCTTCATGAACGGCTCCCAAATGGACAAGGGTTTGACCCCCCAACCCTTCATGAACGGCAAATGGACAAGGGTTTGACCCCCCAACCCTTTATGAACGGCTCTCAAATGGACAAGGGTTTGACCCCCCAACCCTTCACGAACGGCAAATGGACAAGGGTTGGACCCCCCAACCCTTCACGACTTGGCGGGTGTTCCTTTCCAGGAAGTTGACAGCTGAATTTCTGTTACCAAATTCTGCTTATAAAATGTGCCATTTCATTAGGCTGTCGGCCGATCTCTGGGTTCCTCCTTTTTGGCCAGTTCCCAAATGGACAAGGGTTTGACCCCCCAACCCTTCATGAACGGCCCTCAAATGGACAAGGGTTTGACCCCCCAACCCTCCATGAACGGCAAGTGGACAAGGGTTTAGCCCCCCCCAACCCTTCATGAACGGCAACTGGACAAGGGTTTGACCCCCCCAACCCTTCATGAACGGGACATGGACAAGGGTTTGACCCCCCAACCCTTCACGAACGGAAAATGGACAAGGGTTGGACCCCCCCAACCCTTCACGAACGGCAAATGGACAAGGGTTTGACCCCCCAACCCTTCATGAACGGCAACTGGATAAGGGTTTGACCCCCCAACCCTTCATGAACGGCAAGTGGACAAGGGTTTGACCCCCCAACCCTTCATGAACGGCAAATGGACAAGGGTTTGACCCCCCAACCCTTCATGAACGGCAAATGGACAAGGGTTTGACCCCCCAACCTTTCACGAACGGCAAATGGACAAGGGTCTGACCCCACCCAATCCTTCATGAACAGCAAATGGACAAGGGTTTGACCCCCCAACCCTTCATGAACGGCAAATCATCCGGCACCCGCCAGGACAGCCTCACAGCAAGCCCGCATGAGAACCCGCCAACACAGCCTCACAGAAAGCCCAATCCTAACAGAGACAGACTCACAGAAAGCCAGCATACAGTGCTGCTTATTTTTGCACAGTTCCTGCTTCACAGAAGGCCCACTGCTTCTTCCTGAATTCGCCAGCACAGCCTCACAGAAAAGCCCATTGCTTCTTCTGGCGCCCGCCAGGACAGCCTCACAGAAAGCCCACATGAGAACCTGCCAACACAGCCTCACACAAAGCCCGAGAATAGACAGGGACAGACTCACCCAAGACAGCCTCACAGAAAGCCCACATGAGAGCCTGCCAACACAGCCTCACAGAAAGCCCACATGAAAACCTGCCAACACAGCCACACATAAAGCTTAATCCAGACAGGGACAGACTCACAGAAAGCCCACATGTAGTGCTGCTTGTTTCTTCACAACTCCTGCCTCACAGAAAGCCCACTGCTTCTGCCGGCACTCGCCAGCACAGCCTCACAGAAAGCCCATTGCTTCTTCCGGCCCCCGCCAGCACAGCCTCACAGAAAGCCCACATGAGAACCTGCCAACACAGCCTCACAGAAAGCCCACCCAGACAGGGACAGACTCACAGAAAGCCGACACCCGCCAAGACAGCCTCACAGAAAGCCGACACCCGCCAAGACAGCCTCACAGAAAGCCCATATGTAGAAAGCCCGCATGAGAGCCTGCCAACACAGCCTCACAGAAAGCCCAATCCAGACAGGGACAGACTCACAGAAAGCTCACATGCAGTGCTGCTTGTTTCTGCACAATTCCTGCCGCACAGAGAGTCCATTGCTTCTTCCGGCATTCGCCAGCACAGCCTCACAGAAAGCCCATTGCTTCTTCCGGCACCCGCCAGGACAGCCTCACAGAAAGCCCACATGAAAACCTGCCAACACAGCCACGCAGAAAGCCCAATCCAGACAGGCACAGACTCACAGAAAGCCGACATGCAGTGCTGCTTGTTTCTGCACAATTCCCGTCATTACAGCCTCACGGAAAGTCCACTGCATCTTCTGGCACCTGTCATGACAGCCTTACAGAACGTCTGCATAACAATCCAACCGCACAGCCTCACCGAAAGCTTAATCCAAAGAGGGGGGCAGCCTCGCAGGAAGCCCACATGCTGTGCTGCTTTCGATCCTGCCTGGGCCCCGCTGAGAGTAACGGCTTCCGTCGGCGATGTCCAAGCCCCCGCTGGGATGCCTAGAAGACTTTAGAACTAAACCCTAAAATGCTTGAACTCAGGGTGGTCTTGGGGTGGGCTGTCTGCTACGCACAGGTGCGAGCGGCCTGGGTGTGCACACACCAGCGAGCACCCATGACGTTACCACACCCTAAACCCTAAACCCTAAAGTCTTCGCTGAGGGCTCGACAACCGCCACCGCGGAGCCCGAAGCGGCCCGAGCTTCGCGAGCGGCAGAAAACGCGTACGCGGAGCCTAGGTAAAGCTAGGCGACTGGCACCATGCATGCCGGCCCCTCGGGCACCTCCCACGGAGTGGTATAAAGGAGAAACCCTAAACCCGAGGGTTTTTGCTGGCACTTCCTTTCGACACGGGTTTGCACCCCCAACCCTTCATGAACGGCAAACGGACAAGGGTTGGACCCCCCAACCCTTTAGGAACGGCAAATGGACAAGGGTTTGACCCCCCAACCCTTCATGAACGGCAAATGGACAAGGGTTTGACCCCCCAACCCTTCACGAACGGCAAATGGACAAGGGTTTGACCCCCCAACCCTTCACGAACGGCAAATGGACAAGGGTTTGACCCCCCAACCCTTCACGAACGGCAAATGGACAAGGGTTTGACCCCCCAACCCTTCATGAACGGCAAATGGACAAGGGTTTGACCCCCCAACGGAACGGCAAATGGACAAGGGTTTGACCCCCCAACCCTTCATGAACGGCTCCCAAATGGACAAGGGTTTGACCCCCCAACCCTTCACGAACGGCGAATGGACAAGGGTTGGACCCCCCAACCCTTCACGACTTGGCGGGTGTTCCTTTCCAGGAAGTTGACAGCTGAATTTCTGTTACCAAATTCTGCTTATAAAATGTGCCATTTCATTAGGCTGTCGGCCGATCTCTGGGTTCCTCCTTTTTGGCCAGTTCCCAAATGGACAAGGGTTTGACCCCCCAACCCTTCATGAACGGCTCCCAAATGGACAAGGGTTTGACCCCCCAACCCTTCACGAACGGCAAATGGACAAGGGTTTGACCCCCCAACCCTTCATGAACGGCAAATGGACAGGGGTTTGACCCCCCCAACCCTTCATGAACGGCAAATGGACAAGGGTTTGACCCCCCAACCCTTCATGAACGGCTACCAAATGGACAAGGGTTTGACCCCCCAACCCTTCACGAACGGCAAATGGACAAGGGTTGGACCCACATGAGAACCCGCCAACACAGCCTCACAGAAAGCCCACATGAGAACCCGCCAACCCAGCCTCACAGAAAGCCCAATCCATACAGAGACAGACTCACAGAAAGCCCGCATGCAGTGCTGCTTGTTTCTGCACAGTTCCCACTTCACAACAAGCCCAGTGCTTCTTCCGGCATTCGCCAGCACAGCCTCACAGAAAGCCCATTGCTTCTTCTGGCACCTGCCAGGACAGCCTCACAGAAAGCCCACATGAGAACCCGCCAACACAGCCTCGCAGAAAGCCCAATCCAGACAGGGACAGACTCACAGAAAGCCCACATGAGAACCCGCCAACACAGCCTCACAGAAAGCCCACGCCAGACAGGGACAGCCTCACAGAAAGCCGTCATGCAGTGCTGCCTGTTTCTGCACAGTTCCCACTTCACAGAAAGCCCACTGCTTCACTTCCGGCACCCGCCATGGCAGCCTCACAGAAAGCCCACATGAGAACCCGCCAACACAGCCTCACAGAAAGCCCACGCCAGACAGGGACAGACTCCCAGAAAGCCGACATGCAGTGCTGCTTGTTTCTGCACAATTCCCGTCACTATAGCCTCACAGAAAGTCCACTGCATTTTCCGGCACCTGCCATGACAGCCTTACAGAACGTCTGCATAACAATCCAACCGCGCAGCCTCACCGAAAGCTTAATCCAAAGAAGGGGGCAGCCTCACAGGAAGCCCACAGGCTGTGCTGCTTTCGATCGTGCCTGGGCCCCACTGAGAGTAACGGCTTCCGTCGGTGATGTCCAAGCCCCCGCTGGGATGCCTAGAAGACTTTAGAACTAAACCCTAAAATGCTTGAACTCAGGGTGGTCTTGGGGTGGGCTGTCTGCTACGCACAAGTGCGAGCGGCCTGGGTGTGCACACACCAGCGAGCACCCATGACGTTACCACACCCTAAACCCTAAACCCTAAACTTTGGAGTTGCAAAGGTGGACCACAGCCGGAGACAGGCCACGGACAGAGCACAAGGGGAGGAGACGTGGCTCCGGGCTTAGTTTGGGAACAGGCACATACGGTTGGTGATATGAATCCTGCATTGCCTTCATGACCCTAGACTATGGGAATTACGGTGTATTCCTTTTTATGAGTAATGCAGGATTTATATCATCAACATAGTATTTCTGAAAATCGAGGGTCTGTGAACAGTGAGATATGCCGGCCACAGCATCACAGGTTCTCGAAGAGACGCGAAGCCACGAGCAAACTGCGGAATGGCTGCGCCGACTTCCGAAAGGGGAGCTCCGTGCCCTCATCCGGCTTGCGACAGAGGAGCTCAGCCGGCGCCCCGAGGAGAAAGTCTTTTGCTACGGCGAGACAAGCCAAGTCGAAGTTGAATGGGATGCTTTTAAAAGTAAGGCAAACCGTATATACATACATGCATATATGTATATATATATATACACATGTATTAGTAAATAACTACCCCTCTCTCTCTCTATCTCTCTCTCTCTGTTTGTATACAGTGCAAATTCACATTTGAAGTCTTTGGCCCTGGCAGGAGGGACCGGTCCCAGAGACTGGCTGTGCTGCTACTGGAAGTCTGCCGAATGGTGTGTACGAGGAGGTCGAGATGTTTGTAAGGTGTATCAGGTTTTAAGTCACTTCTGACAGCACCCTAAACCCTAAACCCTAATCCGCATCAGCTTCGCACACTCCTCGTTCCAGTGTAGTTGGACTTGCTGGGCTTTCATGTGAAACTGCTCGATGCCACAAGCCCAAACACCCAGAGAGCCCAATGCCCCTCAATTAAGGAATATAGCTCAAATCATAATATGAATCCCCTTATAGTGTAAGATATATCCCTTAATTGAGGGGTATTGGGCTCTCTGGGCAAAGTTTAGCCATTGGCCGGGTGCAGTTTTGTCTAAGCGCCCCCACCCTAAATTCCGCAACGAGCACCCTCGCTTCTGCACAGAATCGTACAGTCCATTCATGTCAGATCCTAGTCCATCATCTCATGCTTAGCAGCCAGCACCAGTTGAGAAAGCTGGGCCTTCGCAGTACTCGAGCTCCTCCAGATAGTCATGTGGGAGTTTCCGCAAATTAGGTGTACCTGATTTTGGGGTCCCGTATAGCAAGGATCCTACTGTGAATAAGGGTCCCCTAGTGTCGGAAACTCCCATGCAATTTATGCAGACAGACACAAGTTTTTGACTCGCAGGAGTCTGTGACCCTATCAGACACCGTCGATCTTCTGGCCACTGGCCTTTCCGAGGCAGAGCGGGAAGGGTTTGCCGTCGAATATAGAAGCCTACATAATTAGCTACATTGTTTCCGGACAAAAGTTTAGATTTGGGATAAGCCTCATAATTTCGGTCATAGAGATAATACACCTGAAGTCAGTGCTAGTGATCCTGACACATCTAGAACTCAGTTGCAAAAGGCTTGGACCTAACTCCTAAATCCTAAGCCCTTACAGGCCCAGAAGCCTAGTCTCCATTACAGATGCTCGCCCTTCCGCCTCACCAACGCCAGAGCCTATTCTATCCAAACATGTGAGTACTATCCATCATTAGTACAAACCCTAAACCCTAAAACCCTAAACCCTAAACCCCTGAAGAACTCGAAAGTTTCAGACTAGTCATCGAATTTCAAGAAGCTCATCCGAATTATCCGAACCCTTCCTTTTTGCCATGCCAGGTGACAGCTCCTAGAGGAGGCCCCGAAGGCAAGGCTTTCATTGTGTAGCTCCAAACAGAAGCCACGTGCCTAACCCGTGGGACATGCGCGAAGGTATGATTTGAGAAGCAGTGGGCTTGGTAAGTAAGGTGATGGGTCCCTTTCTCGGGGTTATACGGAACTGTTTGTGTAGTTGCCTAACGTAAAACCCTCATTACTAAGTCCCATGATCCTTTCAGTGGGCTCGGGCGAAGACTTCGAGGTTTGGGGGGGCAGCTTGAAAGAAACGCCAGCCGAATCTCCACTAACCAGAAGAAAGTTTAGGGTTTAGGCTTCGCTTTCATTTGAAGGCGAAGAAGAGACGTGGCCAAGAGAGGGCGAAGAGGCCGCGAACAGAGAGTGCTTGGGTTCTGAAGCATTTGGGATGCAAAACATTTGGGAGTTTCCGAAAATTAGTGGTACATTATTTTGGGGTCCCTATAAGAAGAATCCTACTATTTAGGGTACCATATTCGGGTCCCCCATTTTCGGAAACTCCCATTTGAGGCCGCAAGACAGCTTGTCTGTGCCCAGGAGACCTCGGAAAACCTGCCCACTACACCAGGCTTGGAGAATCCAGTGCAACGTTTAGGTTTAGGGTTAAAGCTTTAGGCTTTCAGGCTTTCGGGCTTGGGAATGACGTTTCCGAAAGCCTGAGTTTCAATGTTTTTGGGGATCACCCACGGTTTCTCCACTCTGGTCATGCACACGCAGTTTGAGCAATGGTCGTGCGCGAAATGGAAATTCGGGGAACCGAAAAATCTTCTGCTTCTCGGCAAGCCCCATATGCCGTAGGCCTGCAAAGCCAGACCATAGCCCTGCGGAAGACACCTAAAATCCCAAGCCCGATCCCAAATGTCTGAAACCTGCCCCTGCAAGCCGTAACCTAACGAACCCTCAACATCATGAAGCCCTATCCCAGAAATCAAAGCAAACTCGACCTCAAAAGCTTTCGATCGCTAAACCCTAAACCTTCAGCCCTAAACTCAAGGCCTAGGAAGCCCAAGTCCGTGGGTGGGCGGCGCTTAAGCCCCTCGACCTCGATGGCGCAGAACGACCCAATACGCCCGCCCGCCTCTCCACCAGCCATGGGGACGGTAGCACCCACGTCGTACCCTGTACCGGAACACGTTCTCCTCGGGACCAGTACTGGAAGCCATTACCCGAAATCTTAGCGAGGTGGCTGGCCCCGCCTGGGCCCCCCTCCCCCAGGGGATAGGCATCAAAAAATAAATAAATTTGGATCAAAAAAATTAAATTTGGATCAAAAAATTAAATTGGGATCAAAAAAATTAACCTAGCCGAAACCACGACAGGAAGGAAGGAAGAAAGGAAGGAAGGAAGGAGGAAGAAAGGAAGGAAGGAAGGAAGGAGGGAAGCACGAAAGGGAGGAGGGAAGGAGCAAAGGAGGGAAGGAGGAAAGAAGGAAGGAAGGAGAGAAGGTAGGAAAGAGAAAAGCAGGAAGGAAGGAAGGAAGGAAGGAAAAAAGCAAGGAAGCAGCGAAGAAAGAAAGAAAGAAAAGCAACAGGGAATGAAAGGAAATGGACGGAAAGGAAGGTGATCACCCACGCGCCATTTAACTGCAAACTGCCCGCTTTCTTGAGTTGTCTTGCCACATGAAATCGCTTTAGGGGGAGTAAACCGAGCAAAACAAAGTTCATGTTGGAAGGTTTGCAAATGGGGGGTCTGCGTCGCCCCCCAACCCCCCCGTTTTCTTCTCACGAATGAAACGTTTTCACCGACAGGCAAAAGGGCGAAAGCCAGACGTCCTATTTTTGGGAGGGCAAGACCAAGAAAACACAGTAAAACGAACATGTGCATCTCTGTGGATAACGGAGAGAGGAAGAGCCACATGAAATCGCTTTAGGGGGGTAAAAACGAGCAAAGCAAAGCTCATGTTGAAAGGTTTGCAAATGGGGGGGGGGGGCTGCGCCCCTGCAAACTGCCCGCTTTCTTAAGTTGTCCAGCCACATGAAATCGCTTTAGGGGGGTATAAGCGAGCAAAACAAAGTTCATGTTGGAAGGTTTGCAAAGGGGGGGAGCTGCCCCCCCCCAACCCCCCCCGTTTTTTAACTGCAAACTGCCCGCTTTCTTAAGCTGTCGATGAAATGAAGTAAAGACGTTTTTTCTAAACGCACAACAAGGACAAAGCCACATGAAAACGCTTCAGGGGATTTAGAATTCGAAGAATATAAGATTTCTCATGAATGAAACGTCTTCACCTACAGGCAAAAGGGCGAAAGCCAGATGTATTCGCTTTGGGAAGCCGAGAGCAAGAAACAAGAAAACAAAGGTAAAACGACAACGTGAGTCTCAGTGGAAAACGAAGAGAGGGAGAAGCCACATGAACTGCCCGCTTTCTTAACTTGTCGAGACACATGACATCGCTTTAGGGGGGCAAAAGAGAAGTACTGCTTTAATCTTTTTGATGCTGTTTTTAATTTTTGGAGTCCCTGTGTTTTTTGATCCAAATTTAGTTTTTTTGATCCGTTACCCTCGAGCACCCCTTGTTTTTTGTGATTCTGTGGCGGAAGTACTGATTTAGTTGTTTTTGATCCATTTTTTTTAACATTTTTTTGATCTTTGTGCTTAAATTTTTTTTGATCCAAATTTAATTTTTTTTGATCCGTCACCCCCTCCCCCCTGGGTGGTTTGGCCGCCTTGGACGGCGTGGGGCGGGAGAATTGAAAGAGAAAAGCCATCCACAATCAGGCTCCAACGACCGGTCGTCATTTTACGATGACACTGTCGCAAGATATTTCCGCTTATGCGCCACTCTACGGCAAACCCCAAACCCTAAACCCTAACACACTTCGAAACGCAAATGCCTATGACAGCCTTCGAACCCCACCGAAAAACCTCGACCCCAAAACCCTACGCTTGAATTCCCAAACCCGGTCCCCAACAACTCAGATTGCACGCGGTTTGCCATGGGGTCTGCTTTTGTGCAAACTGGCCTTTTTTCTCAAAGCTTTTGCACATTGCCATCCTTTGCAGGAGGTTCAGGTGTTTTGCAACGTTGTTCATAAATGCGGTAGCCTCGCAGCTTTCATCCGAAGCCTGAAGTAACAAGGAAAAGCTGTGGATATTTGGATCAGCTTTTACATTCGTCCTTTGAAACTCGGGCATCAACCCTTGAAAGTTTGAACTTTACACGTTTTACAGTCTACATCCTGGGCGCAACAATGCCGAACGCGCAAAACCCTGCAAAGCTGCTCGAAGCAACATCCTCAAAAGCAAAATCTTGGGCCTTACCCCTGCAATCCTATTGTCCACTCGGAAGACCCTGCGCCTCAAAAAATGACACCCCAGAGCGTGACAACTGTCAACCGTACCCCTCCAAGCCTGCACCATAAATACCTCCGGGTGCCTTGAACGTGTTCGGTTGGCCGAGTGCCTGTTTTCGTTCTTGAGCTTGTCTTCGGGTGGGAGTTGCTCTTTTTTATGGTTTACATCGAGCACACCGAACAGTCAAGCTCCTCCTGTAGGTTGCTCGCCTGGTAGTTCCAACTACTGTGTGTTGAACTTGGGCAAATGAACAGTCGCGTGCCACAGTTTGCAGTGAACATTGCAGACACTCTCATTACTTTGAGGATCATGGGACTTGGGAAATAAGGTTACAAGTCCCTGAATTGGGGTTATAAGTAATTATAGGTATAGTTACCTTAATGATAACCCTAGTTACTAAATCCCATCATCCTTTAGGTAGGCTGGCAAGGCAAAGAAGTTCAGGCTCAGGCGGAAGTTTTGTATCAACATGGGATTCCAGCAACATTCCAACCATGAAAAGAGTACGGTGTGGCGCTTGCAGCAGGAGGTTCGCTCCTGCGGCGTTCGCGCGACAGAATGCGCTTTTCTTTAGACGGACCGACGGGCATCAATCTAGGTTGAGCATGCATCCATTTTGTTTTCACGGTTTCTATTCGGGGTTGCTGTCGCCTTACAGACACGATGTGAGGGTCCGCTGCCCACAAAGCTTGGAAGTTTGACAGTTGTTTGCAAAGGCCACGAAGCAAAGATGAAGTACATGCGATGCAGCCCTGCAGACTGCAAATTTTCATCGTGTCACACCCTAAACCCTAAACCGTTATAGCCCCATTATGGGGTACATACCTTTAATGTGGCTATTATATACCCATTATATACTGAGTCGTGCCGGGAATATGAACTGTCAGATCTCCAATATCAGTCTTCCTGCATCAGCGGTCTTCTGCAAAATCCTCTCTAAGCATCAAGTGATCTGGCTACTTAGAGGATCAAGGGACTTAGAAACTAGGGTTACCAGTAAGGTAACTATCTATACTGATAACCACTCATAATAATCCTTATAACCTTCCTCTAAGTACCCCCCAAACCCTTATAGAATCCTCATAGTAACCCTTACAGATCCCTTAAAGGAGCCCTTTCAGGAACCCTAGGCCTTACTTACTAAGTCCCCTGATCCCCCAAGTACATTTAAGAAGGAGCTCCCACTCTGCTCGGAGATGAGGCGCGGAGTTTGCTGCTGTTGGACTGCAAGATCCCAGACCTTCCAAAATCCCTTAATTAAGCAGTATACCATGAAATATCGTAGGATTAATCATATGATTCAAGGTAGAATCCTCAGTTCAGGGATTTTGGAGGCTTTGGGTAGGACTGCAAGATTTTCTCTCCCTCAGGAACGAAGCCGTCTCCTCGCAGAGCTCCGAGGCAGCAGCTGGAGGGCCGAGGTCCCTCGTCTGCGTTCTTCTCAAGAGATTGTAACTTAAGACTTCAATTTTAAGTTACCATAATGGGGATCCATAGTAAATAGTATGGCTTCCTCATTAATTATGTACCTTGAGTGATATCCCTTAACAAGAACCCAGAGGTCCCCTTGAGCCGCGCGCCACCGCGCCTTCGGAGTGACCGAGAGGTTCTGCTTGCAGCCGCGCGAGAGGATCCGGCTACGCTTAGGTTTGCTGCTGATCTGCAAAAGGACCGGAACTTTTGGCTCTGGATCGTGAGGCAAACCAAGGCATGGTGGCTCATCCACTTTGGAGCGTCTCAGAAGCTCCTGGAAGACCCTAGCTTCTTGGAGGGCTGCAAGAAAGCCGCGGGCACTGGCTTGGTTTTCACCTATTACGACGACCACAACCTTTTCCAGACCCTTCGTAGGAAGTTGCCCACTGCGGGTGCGTCGGTGCCGGGCGGCGACGCCTATGATTTAGTCATGGAAGAAGTCAGCCAGAACGGCAGATTCTCGGCAGCATTCAAGCGGGTCAAGCCCGCAGAAACCAGTGGAAAGCCTGCGCATGCCCTCATGTAGGCCCGAAGACCAGGGAGGCGCAAAGCCATACAGCTTGAGCCTCAACCCTGCATGTGTCAGCTTGGCTCTCGACGTCCAGGCACTGCCACCGTCTGGTTCGGCGATGAACCAGTCTTCGGCCACAATGCCGACCGTGGCGAGTGGCTCCACCCCAGCAGTGAATGCGGACGGGACGACATCCCGGTTCCGCCGGCGAACGTGCAGGATGCAAAGTGGCGCTCGACCGTGGACTCACGCACACGCACGCAGGTCGGTGGCTCAGTCTTGTCTCGAGTTTTCCCTCAGGGTCCATGTGCCCAAATAGTGTATACTGTGGCCTAAAAGTACTCCCTATGTAGTACGTTGGGGCCAAAGTATATACTATTTGGGTACGTGGACCCTTCGGCTTTGGGAGTTGACCCTAAACCCTGAACCCTAAACTTCACTTCACTGCGTCACGGTGCTAGTCCTGTGCAAACGAGAAGAGAAAGAGCGGCCCCAAAAGTCAGCCGAAACTGACGGGCGAGCTTGCACTCCCAAAACATGCAAAGTGCAACAGCCGAGGCAGCAGGAGCAGGGAAGCTCAACAACTCACTTAAGGTGAGACCGCCAACGGCAGGAGACAGAGCCAAAGATCGACCGCCAAGGCGGCGGGGGGTTGCTAAATCCAGCAACCGGAGCGCAGAGCCGGGAAGACGGAAGGGCGACGGCCGTGCCAAAACCAAGAACGGGCACAGTCGAGGCGGCGGGAGCCAGAGAACGGAGGACATCCCAGAAGGGAGACGCTAGAGGCCCCGCACTCCATAGGACGGCCCCAGCCCTCCTTCGAAGCCAAAGATCGGAAAATCAATGATAGGGCCCTTCGGCCCAGAATATACCCCCAACGCAAAACCTAAGTTTTGCCCTTGGTATAATGTTTGGCTTCGGCTTGGCTGCGTTTGGTTCGGCTTGCTGAATGGTTCGCCTCGCTGTGAGTAGTGTTAATTAACCTTCACAAGGCATCTTCTCAACATAAGTTTTTTCGCCATTCGCGAAAATAAACAATGCGAAGGCAAGAGAGGAAGCTCGAGAGATGCAAGCCCCGGGTACAGTGTCGAAATGCAGAAGTGTTTGAGTGTTGGCTGGCTCAACCCGAAATCCTAAACCCTAAACCCTAAACCCTAAACCCTAAACCCTAAACCTTAAACCCTAAACCCTAAACCCTAAACCCTAAACCCCTAAACCCTAGACCCTAAAGTGGATCGAGTCGTTGTAGGAGCCCCTCTCAGGAGCCCATTGTCGGCAAGCGATACAAGTGCCCCTCGGAGAGTTGCCAAGTGCTTTCTTCTCCATCCCTCCATAGGCTGCCCTGTTAAGGGGGCCTTTATAAAGGGTTTTGGGGTATATGATACTATAATCCTTATAAGCAACTCCCAAAACATTACAGGAAATCATAGTGCACTTCTGCCTCAGGTTGGTGCTGCAGATGGTTGCGCGAAGTGCAGCGACACCACGCCCAAGGCGAGGTAATTTGCTGCGCGGTATCAAACATCTATAACTCAGACGCCTGGACTGCAATGGTTTAGCGATTTTCATAGGGTTTCGGGTTTAGGGCTTCAGCGATCTTGCAAGCACGGCCTGCAGCCCAGTTCGTGCAAAAGTGGATCCCTGGTCCCCAAGGATTGGGTCGAGTTGTACGGTGCGGGATCATCAGAGTTGTCCGATGTGGACGCCGGAGCACACGGCCTGCCAAAGAGTCTTGGCTGGGAGAATAGAATATAATATGAAGTGGTAGAATACAATGACATATAGCTTCAGTTCAGGTTTTTTCAGTTTTCACGGTTGTTGGAGATGAAGTTGTCGAAGTCCCAGGCAGGATCCTACACCTGAAGGCAGCCACTCAAGGATCAGAAGACATAAACTCTAGATCCATGCCTGTAAATATTGCATACGTGGCCATGTCATTGTCTCAGGGGTGCGCGGGGCATGACAGCGATTTTCGCTGTCATTTGCGTCAGGAGGCTGTTTAACATAATGTATGTACGTACTTGTATATGTGTATATACATACCATATACCAACATGAACCTATAAATATTTATAGATATATACATTTAAGAATGCTACAATATTACTAGTAGTAATAGTATATTCGTCTTAGTCTTAGTACTAGTACTATAGTACTAGTACTAGTACTAGTACTAGTACTGGTATTAGGATTAGTATTAGTACTAGTACTAGTATTAGTATTAGTATCAGTATTAGTATTAGAATTAGAATTAGTATTAATATTAGTATTAGTATTAGTATTAGTATTAGTATTAGTATTAGTATTAGTATTAGTATTATAATATTAGTATTAGTATTAGTATTAGTATATAGTGTATAGTGTATAGTGTGTATTATAGTATAGTAATATTTAGTCGAAGTATAATACCAACATTATTTACATAAAGTGTAAATGAAGTAGAAACACAGTATAAGGTATAATTATACTACCCAGGTATTAGTATCAATTCAAGCAAAAGTAGCAGCAGTAGTAGTTGTAGTAGTAGTAGTAGTAGTAGTAGTAGTAGTAATAGCAGTACTAGTACTAGTAGTAGTACTGGTAACAGTAGTATTAGTAGGAATAGTAATAGTAATAGTGATGGTAATAGTAATGGCACTAGTAATAGTAATAGTAAGGACAATAGTAATGGTGATAGTAATCGCAAGAGTAATAGTAATAGAAATAGAAATAGCAATGGTAGTATTAACAGTAATAGGATACTAGTTGTAATAGTAATGGATAGTAATAGTACTAGTAATAGTATGAGTAATGGTAATAGTAGTAGTAATAGTACGAGTAATAGTAATTGTAATCACAATAGTACTAGTAGTAATGTTAGTTATGGTAACCGTAATGGCAATATTAGTATTTATCGTAATGTAGCAAGAGTAATAGTACAAGTAACAGTAATCGTGATCGTATTAGTAATAGCATGTATACTAGTAGCGATGGTAACAGGAATAGTAACAGTCGTAATACTAGCAAGAGTAGCAGTAGTGGCAACAACAGTAGTAGCAGTAGTAGTAGCAATAGCATGACACTGACAGCAATCGTAATGGTTGTGCTCGAAATCCATGTATGCACGCATTGCTAAGATACATCTGCTTGCTCTTGGGGCGTAGCCCAGCTTATGATCGCAGAAATGGTTGTCATTCTGGAAACAACTGTTTCCGCAACATGGAGTTCTCGAAAGTATAAAAAATGAACACAGTCCGCTAAATGGTATGCACACAGAATGTAACAGTCTGTGAAATTAAGCGGCCGATCTATGCTGGCAAAGTACTTTTGAAACTGGGCAGTCGCATGAACGTATGACACTATACCCAAAGGCTCTCTGAAGCGAGACCCTTGAAACTACAACTTGATCCTGCCCCCGGGGCCCGATAGCTTAAAACCAGGATTGCTGAAAGCCACGGAGCCGCAGGTTCATGAGATTGTGGGCATGTTCGCAGTTAGGAGTTTTTCTTTCCCTTGACATTCATTAATTCACAGCACAAGCCGCAGAAGCTCCCGATCCTTAAACAGCTCGTCAAAACGCGGGGGGTAAAATTTGAGAGTTCAGAATTCGGGAAATGCAGGACAGCTCGTTAACGGAATCAAAAGCATCCTTCAGCGTCACGGCACCGCATGGCTCTCCACTAAAATACTAAATTGACTAGATTGACTAGGTCTATCAAACAGAGTAATGTGTTGTGAGGTTTCCTGTGCTATGGTAGCACAATGCAGTGCAGTTAGCAGCCGGGAAACTTGAGATTGCATGGACTAGAGCTGGGCTGTTCGATGCGCAAGTGAACATAAAGTAGTATAACATCTACCTTTTGGCACTCGCTCTCGGCAGGCAGGCGAGGTTTACATACAAAAGTTCATCGATACATACATGGGGATCTATTGCTGGGACCGCAAGTGCACAGTGCACAGAATACATTCTCAACCTGTAGTCAACTTGATATCGATATCAATGCACTTGCTCGCGTAGTCTGGGGTTTTAACCGAGCGCATGTCATGCACATACAGGGTGCGTGAAAATTTGGGGAGGACGAGGGTGGGGGGGGGGGGGCGGGGTGGCCGGGGTTAACCGTACCTCCTAAATTTCACTCATAAAAACCACCGACACCCAGAAAAAACAACATATCGTGGACTCCCATTTTCGACACAAACATAAACAGCCGCACTGGAAATCATACCCTACGTCGGTATCGGTTTTTAGTGACAAATCGTGGAATAGATGAAATTTCTGTATCCCCCTACAGACAACATACATAAGATACATGCATGTATATGTATGCAAAGTATGAACATATATGTGTGAATCGGTATAATATATATATATATATATATATATATGTACACACATGAATATGCTAGACGCTTGTAGGCCCATTGATCCAGCTGCCGTTCGCGTCATAGAACAATTGCCTCGTTGGCACCTACACACATACGTCGCATTCCCATCAGATGTCCCAAGAGCCTTGCAACCCGGGAACAGGCAGGAACAAAACACACGAAGATGAGCTCAACATGCAACCTGTCCCGTGATGGAACATCGAGCGTCGCAGATCCCATGGGAAACTTTTCGGAATCTTCTATGTTCTATGGCTAAACGCGGCAAACTCAAAAGTGAGACGTAGCTATGTTCATATAGTGGTTATTAAGTTTGCCTGGTTGGTCTGAAATCTTGATTGTTTCGTGGACGAGTGGCATTGGCTCGCGCCCAACACGCGTGGACCCTATGCCCTATGCCCAGGTTCTCTTCAGTTCGACGTGTAGCGAATTGTTCACAACGGGGGATTGCACCAAGGCTGTGGGTTACACAGAACGCTGGTTTCAGTAATGTAAGTAAAGGTGGTGCGGATTGCGACTTATCGGTTTATAAGCAAAGGCTGTGGGGTAAACAATTCGGAGATTTCATTGCTGCCGTGCACAAGCATCCCTTGAAGGTACTGTGTGTAAGCACGGGTACATCAACACCGAAGCTAGTCCAGTTTTAGAAGATATTTGTTCATTTTGGAGGCAGGATAGGGCTTTAATACAAGCTTGGTGCACGGACTATAATTGTACGGAATGCATTAAACTAGTTTGTGCGGGTCGGAGTGTGTTGGTTCGTTCTTTACAACAGATATCAGCCATTATGCACGATGGTATTTTGCTGCTGCTTGGAACAGGTACTGTGAGGACGATAGCAGACAGCCATATGGCAGGAACCGAATCATGAAGGGATTGTGGGGTTGGCAGCGGCGTGCACAGATGATGTTATGTGAGGTGCTCGGAATCATAGCACGTCGCACAGCGCGGAGTTTAGTTGCACTAGAATCCATCAAAAGTTTCAGGGCCTTGACGCAACTACATACATTATGATCCCCGATCTGAGCACCGGCTCGGATTGTGAGGATAGTCGGTGTAGCCAATGGTGTGGACTCCACGAAAAGTGCTCACCGGGCCTCATAGCACATAGGAAACCATACAGCAATTCTAGATTGAAATGCCGGTTTACTGACGCAAGATACCACTGTATCGTGAAAACAGATCCGCGATAAATGCCATGCGCTGCAATCAGGACTGGGGCAGAGATGGCTCTAGAAAACAAGGATGTTACCGATTCTTACAGTACTACACAATTTGGGGCGAGAAACGAAAAGAAACTCATAAGAGCACCTTTATATTCGCCATGCTGACACAAAGCAGTCACATGCAGATGCGCGAGATAACTGCTCAAAGATGGTATTGGCTTGAAGGGATTAAGTGTGCCTGAGATGAGTACTACACGCTAGGACAATTTCAGAACAGGGATAAAGTTTGGGCGTCGGAGACCGAAATTACTAGGCTTTAGCCATTACATCAACAATCCCGCAGATAAGTTAATTTGGACGTATGAGCATCTTAACGTCATGGCAAAATCGATGGATTGATGGCTGGAGGGTTTACTGGTTGCTGTCCCGAACCGACCATATATAGGAGCAGACAGAATGATTTGACGGCAGCACGGCTGACCAATTTTTCCCACCCGCCCAGCTGAAAACCAACTGGGCTGCTGGATAGGTTTCATTATGACCTTAATGCCCTAAGCATTTCATTAATCCACGAAGTACACTCTGTCTGAGCATTTGACATGGGCAAACGAGTACTTAAATCAAGACGGCGGCAAAGTAAATGGATAAACTAATGTTGCACGCTTCGTGCCTCTGGTGCGTCATGGGGGCCAGCTGACTGCAGTAGTGCACTAGTGGTTTGATGGCGAGGTCCTGGGTACTTAATCAGTCACAGCGGCAAACTGAAGATTTTCATGAATGGATGAACCGCTTTCTATAGGGAACCGTACCGGTTTCGGTTGGGTAGCTCTGGCGCATGATGAAGGTTGCAAGAAGGGTGCTATCAAGCCGAAATGGAGGATCTGTGTGAAAAGCAGACAGCAAAATACCTACGTTTGCATTTCTGTGTGTATTTGTATGTATATTTACTTGTAGTCCTTGTGTATAAGTATTTCAGGAGCCTATAGCCCTATATGTTCTGTATGTTTTCATGTATGCATTAATACGTACTGATCGAAACCCTAGTGTATGCATGCCGGTGTGAGTACTGGACCAGCAAGCCCAGCGAGCCTTGAAAGATAGCCGTGGACATATCCGGGCCAGGCGATTTCGGCTATTAAATGAAAAAAGGACCCTGAAAGGAGATAACTATATATATATATATATATATGTATACATACATGTATAGACACGATATGTACATGTACG